TAGAAAGAGAGAAATGTTATAAAAAAGACTCTCAGACAACTGTCCACTCTTTTGTCCGGGGCTTATTGGAATGACGCAAGTCTATTCAGGAAAAGATTATAAAAATCAACTCAAAGCTGCCTCTGTTTGTGCCCCCTAAATATACCTTTATTTCATAAAGATACAACCTATAAAACAAGCAAATTAAAGCTCTCTCTGAAATGGTAACAGTGAGGCAGCAGCCCTGGAGAAAYGGGGCTTTAGCTCTGATATCTGGGATTGATTCCCCATCCCACGGGGCTCTGGAGCATCATTAACCCCCAGTTTGGGGTAAATTCTCAGCAAGGATGAGGATTGTGTTCAAACTGAGTGATAAATTAAAATTTCTAAATTTAAAAATCTCTAAAATTAACTTTATTTAAAAAAAAAACCCCAAAACTGTGTGATTGGTGAGCACGCGACGAACGCGCTGCTCAAGTTGCTTTGACGCACCGAAAAGTGAAGAAAAATCACCGAAATCTGTGAGTTTAAATCTTCACTGAGACTTTTAGAACATCTTCCACTCTCTGGAGGTGACATATGCAGAAATGCAGGAGTAATCTGTGCTGCAGAGGCAGCTCCTCGGAGTTAAAATCCTCAATTTTCTGAGTTAAAATCCTCAATTTTCTGAGTTAAAATCCCCAATTTTCTCTCTCCCAGCCCCACAATGTGCAGCCAGCCTGCGGGGGAATGGCCTGCCCGGTAATTGCTGCACAAAAGACAGTGAACAGTTCCCTTGCTCTTCCCTAACTACCTTCCTGACTGCTTATTGAAGTCTGATTTCTTACTCCTCTGGGTCATCATTCATCAGCCCTACAGACCCCGCCGGGAGAGCCCGGCCAGACCTTTCCACATCCCCTCCTTGCCAGGGGCCATTCCTGACGGCCCCRAGATATTGAAAATGTCTTCACAGCGACCCGGCGGGACGAGCCKCGGCCGTAATACCCAAATAATCATTTGGCAAATTATCATAATTATCAATCAATCATCCCCGCGCCGACAATGCGCTCMCGAAGTATCAGATGGTTCCTGTGACCTGTAGCGTTTTTTTTTTTGGATATAATAATAAACCCGGGGGAGATTTATGGCCCCATCCCATTTCGCATCTGCAGCAGCAAAAAACACTCTCTGGGCTTTAACTTTTGCTTCAGAGCTTTCCTCACGCCTTGTTTGCTGCTCGTTGCTTTTCTAAAAAATCAAAAATTTCTAATCACTCCCAGTTTTCTAAAATTAACTTTATTAAAAAAAAAAAAATCYRTKTGATTTGTGAGCRCRCCACAAAYGCAGTGCTTAAATTGCTTTTACTTCGCGGCCTCATCAGCATTATTTTTACAGCTCCTGATATTTGGGAAGGCAGGAACGAAGCCAGCCGAAGGAGAGGGGGTGGAAATTGGTTTTGTCTTCAGTTTTTGTTGTGTTTTGCACAATGCCAGATTGAATCCAACCCTTTTGAAGCCCGATAGCATCTCCCGCTCCCCGCGCGGCGCATTCCCGTTAATGGATAAATTCAAGCTCTCCGGAAAGTCAAAGAATAAATTTAAAGCCTTTTGCCAAATGCCTATCCTATTGGATTTTGATAAGACGGCTATTGAGCTTTAATAATGTCTTCTATCCTTTTTCAGCTGGCCCTTAACATGTCTCTTTATTTGTCCCTAAAGCCTCTTCAGCGATGCCTTTTTATTACAAGTCTCTCAGCTTGCTCTCAGGGGAGACAGGGTCGACAAGAGTGATAGATAGATAACTCTATAGATTATCTCCCACAGATGTTTTCTCTCCAGTAGCCCCTCAGGCTATTCCCTCTAAGTAAACAGAAACTAAATAGAGAGTCTACTGAAGAGAGAAGTCCCTGAGGTCCCTTGTCACCATGGGCAGAAAAACAGCCCTGGCCGGAGGAGATGAACTGGGAGCTCTGCACACGCAGAGAATTCATCCCCCAGGATTCTGGAACCTCATCCAAAGTCACCCTTKRAAGGGAGAGAAATGAAGCTACTTGGAAAAAAAAAATTAAAAATATGATGGTGGTGTGTAATGGCCACTGGCTTTGCTTCCTGCTGGAGGAAGTGGAAATCTTTCGGCTCGGAGTTAAAGCGAAATGACAGCAGGGACGGTGACAATGACAACGAGCTGTTTGTTCAGTTTATTAAATGCGGTGGGGAAGCTTGGAAAATTCAGAGGGAGAGGACACRGAGCTGCTCTCTAAGCAAAATAAACAGTGCAGGGGCGTGGGCTGGGAAAAAGACATTTGGGAGGAGGGGACAATAAACCCACAGGTATAACTCGTATTTTAGYTCTGAGTGGCTGCATTCGGGTCACTAAAATAACTAAAATAAGTGACTTTTATTRCTTTCACCACTGATGATCAAAAATTAAACAAACAGGATGAGGGGCTCGTGTGTATTTGTGGAAGTTAAACTAAATATCAGCCAGGCAAAGATGGCACAAGGAAAGCTCGTTGGGAATGCACCACATTTCAGTCCATGGCACAGCAAAGATCTGGAAAATKATCCTGGATATGGGTCCTTAAATGACATTGAATTATTCCCTGTCAGACAACCACTAACAAAGAAATCAGCTTTGTCCCAGCAGAAAAAAACAGCAACATGAACTGAAAAATACTGGATATAGTGGGAAAGCCTTATTTTTTTGTGATCCAAGCCAAAAAAATAGCCTGTCTTATTCTACCACATAACAGGCTCTGCTGTGCTGCATCTTCAGACTTTTCACTGCCTTTCAGTTCATTAAAGTTATGTAATATGCACTTTTTCTCTGGAAGATTAAGAGCAGAGACAGTTCTGGGGTCAGTTTGAAGCAGAGATTGCTCCCTGCACCTCTCACCTTTCCTTYCCTGCCTTATCCTGCTTTTACAGAGTTTTCTCTGCATTCCAGATTTTTTTTCCCCTCTTTCCAGTCCTTGTTAGCAGCCAGTTCTGAACCTGTGATGCAGCAGTCAAAGGACCCACTGAAATTACGGCCTCTGCAGCTCCCATTTCCTCCCCTCCCAGTTTAAATCAGGCCACCCACTCCAGTTACATTTGTCTCTTCTCTCCACCACAACTCATCTCTGAAGGAATGGGAGCAAATTGAAGTCAAATCTCAACCATTGTGTCGTCAGGGATATGACAACGGAACGATTTAGAGAGGATGGAAAAGGAAATCTGCTCCCGAGAGGGTTTTGTGCCACCAGAGTGCTCCTTCCAAACCATTTTTTTGAGAGACGCTACAAAAATTGTCCGGAGTGATTTCTCATTCTTCAGTTTTCATTTTCTCCTGGCCTGAAAAGCTGTCTCACAGTAGTCTTTTCACAAGCCATAAAGTTTAGACTTGAACTCTTTACCTTACTGCTCTGACCTCCTCTACCCCAGCTGTAAAACCCTACTGCCCATCCTTCAATAAATTTATCACCTCATAAACTCCCACTAGTGCTTCTCCACAATGCATTTAAAAGACACAAGTGGAAGGCCAGGCCTTCCCCCCACTGTCAAATATCATAATTGTCCAGTTTTATACCTGCTGCACGGGGAAATATTTAAGGGCATGGCATTTTTCAAAGAGCTGCAGTTTTGGCAACAATCTCCCTTGAAATAAAAGCACCAAGTTTAWATWTAAACCCATGGWTGGATTKTATAAAGCTGCCAGTCTYGTGTTTTCCCRTTTCACACAATTYCTGCTCTCTTTGGGGTAATGCAGAYCCTGGAGGTGGGGATGGAGGGTTTATTTGGGGTTTTGTAATTACAGAAATAGCTGAGCCCKGGAGAATTCCCTCCATCCTTGCGGGAAGGGATAATAAGAAGCTGCCACCTTGTCACCACGTCTKTCTGGACAAAAGGATCCCACAGAGGCAGGGACAGACACCCCATGAGTTATGGAGGTGCCCAAGGTAAAAAGTTCAGCCCGGCTGCCCTGGTGAGGTCACGGCGCACTCAGGGGACGTTTCCTATTGGGAGCCTCAAAAATAAAACCTGATTTTTCTTTTTTAACATGGTAAAAATGGAGCAGTCCATACTGGACGTCTAAATCCCTTTTCCCAGCCTGACTCTGGAGTCTGGCAAGGATTTAATTTCACTTTGTTTGGCAGAGGGAAATGAGAGATTCCTTTTAGTTTTTGGAGAGGAGAAGCAGCATCAATGTTCGCCTGGAGGATGAGCAGGCAAAGTCCAATCACAGAGATTTCCCCATAAAAAAACCCATGAGCAGGGCTGTGAATATCCTTTATCAGGTACATCAACTGCACATAAAAGGAATCACAACCTCCTTATTTCAATGAGCACAGACAAGCTCCATCCATTGAGGAGCACTAATCAAACCCRACATGTAACACTAATTAACAAAGCTGTTAACCAACAGATGAACATGGCAAAAAACCACATTTTAGCACTTATGAGCAGAATCCCAACCCTAACAGCAGCCTGGCCACCGAAATCTGCCATGCTGAGGCTGCCTCCCAGCTCCAGTGAACACGTTTGTGCAGCTGGGCTGAGTGTGGAACGCATTTTCTCTGGTCACTGTTAGAGCTCGAGCCCCACAATGTGATGAAAAGCGCCACTAATTCATCACATGGGCTAAACTTTATCCTTCCACAGAACTATTCCTTTCCCCTTGGACTTCACATTGGCCACATTTACACGCTGAAGYGGCCTCTAAAAATTTAGCATTTTTAACAAAGAACCAACATTTTCTTTTACTTGAAAAGAGGTAAATGAAGTTTCTCGCTTTGGCCCGGCAGCTGTTTATGTTGTAGGGGAATCAAGGAACACCTCAAATGATTATTTTCTCTTTCATAATGACTGGAATCACAAAAAGACAAAAAAAAATACGCCAGCAGAATCACAGCTCTTAATCCAAAAGAGCAACAGCAAACACTGAAAAACTTTTACGCCGTTATTGCCATCGACACCTTGGTTTGAAAGTTAGGAAAAAGCATCTGGGTGAGTTTCCAAAGCCAGGGAATGAAACAACTCCCAGAAAATTGAACCATGTCCTACCTTTTTGATGCTGCCCTCCTGCGAGGTCACCTCGGGATCAGTCAGTATTTGCTGAGGGAAAAACAGAACGGAAACAAAATTGAGTCGAGTTGCAGCTAAGAATGTCAGGAAATAATAGAGATTGTTGTTATAATGATGGTGATGAATAAATATTATATTATTGATAATAATGGCCAAAACTCTCAACTRCACCCAGATGTTCTGGAAGTTTGATGGAAGGTTTGAACTACAACTGTTGTATTTTAAGATTTTCTGTCATTTCTATGAATAATTCTCTTAGATCTGGCAGACAAGGACAGGTTTCTGTCCCAAAAGGAAGGTGTGGACAGCACAGACACCAGGAGAACAGGGACCCCCGGGCTCTGGGGAGCCCTTCTGGAGGATGGGGGGATGCTCCAGCTCTTCTGGAGGATGGGGGGATGCTCCAGCCCTTCTGGAGGATGGGGGGATGCTCCAGCCCCCCTGAGCTCCCAGCAGCAGCACCGGGAGCTCTTTAATTGCCCCTCCAGCCGAGGTGTGGTGGAACAAGTCATTAAATCGCTGCTGTGCTCCACCTCAGATTAGCTCCAGGTCAGCAGGCATTCGGGGAGGTCAAGTACCTCAACTTTCCATCACCCTGGATACCCCACCAGGATAAACACACTGGGAAAGGACCTGATCGAGCGCCCACGCTGGGGATTCCGGCGGTTCCCAGGGATTTTGGCAGTTCCCAGCTCGCTGGGGAGATTTGGGGTGGCTGAGGTTAAACAGACACCCAAAGGCAGGGTGGGACAGGGTGATCGGGGCTGCTAGGACCAGGAATAGAGATAAAAATGCAAGGAAATGGTTGGAGTTGAAATGGGAAGGGAATGGAAGTTCAAGGGAAAGGGAAGGGAAAGGGGCAGGGGAAGGGAAATTCAGGGAAGTTCAGAGAAGAAGGGAAGGAAAATTTCAGGAAATTTCAGGAATGGAAATTTCAGGAA